GGGAGGTTATAATGGGTCAAATAATAATTATTATATAAGGTGTATTAAGACTAATCATTTAATACAAAGCTAAAATCCTATGTAAATAAAAAGATAAAAATCCACATTTAGACCATAAGATGCTAACGTCTGTAAATGGGATACCCACTCCATTTCAGATTTACCCAGTATATTTCTTATATCTCCCCCTCTTTTAAAGCAAGGTGAGAAAATAACTCTGTGTCATATTTAGGGCATGTGTTGACATGTAAGCCAATCACCCCATGTATTGTTTTGATTGATATTTCAATGTGTTAAGTGTCTATGCCCCTTTGTATAAGTGGTGAGAAGGAGTTAAAACTAGCGAAAAGGTAGCCATTGCCACACAGCAGCTAGAAAAGGCCACACAGGGCTCCACCCATGTGCATCGAGTGAGAGCTACACTTTTATTCATGGGAGAGGACCTAGTTTCTGCCTTTGCCCCCATCCTTATATAGGCTTTACCACACTATCTTAGCTATCGCTAAACAAGAGAAAATTGGACAATAAGCCAACCAATTAGAGTGCTCTGACAGCAAAAACAAGAAAACATTAGAGCCCCTCTTGTAGCCCGTTGGTGGGAGCCGGGGGGTGTGGTCGAAACTAGGATCTCCCACTATTAATATTACGGTCACATCCTTTGTCAATAGGAGTATGGGGGCTTTGAAATGGTGCATTTTCTGACTGCACAGCAATGACTGCCCAGTAACTAGTTATAAACATTTAGGAAACATGCCCCTACCTGTCTCATGGATGTACAATACCTCCACTGTAGTAATATTGGGATGTTATTGATCCCCATAAGCTATTTATTTTTGTGGCTAGCCACCACATGATAATCTCACACCACCTAGGTTTTCTGATTGTGGGGATATTTATGAGATGATAATATTAAGCAGTCGAGAATTGCCCACTATCTCAATCCTCTTAGATCTTAGAGATCGTTTATCAAATAAGTGAAAAGTATTCCATAAATAAATCACAATCTGTTATAAAAATAGATTTATTTTTATTGTAACAAATAACATAACAAATAATATTAGGCAGCATGCATGATAATAATCAGCGAGTATTTAGTATAACATAAATATGCAATACAATGGAATGGCTATACGCGTTTCGATGGCTAACAGCACCATCTGTCACTTAAGATTTATGAGGGTATCTTTACAGACAAAAAGTAAAGCTTTTCACAGCGAAGAGCCATAAAACCTTGGCTAACAGTTAAAACAACTGAATAACCCTTTCAATGCTGGCTAGATCCTCCTAGGCATATAGTATCCTATTCTCCTGTGATTTTCAATTAAAATAACATTTGAACCAACTCATTAATCATTTCCTGGAACCATCCAATAAGAATAATCTACCAGATTTTATACGCCGAATTTTAATTTGCCTAAAAAGATATCTTATACAAATCAATACACCTGGATAAAAACAGCGGTATGCTAACACGTGATACTATCACATTAATATATAATTATTCTTAATTCCAGCTGCAGAATGGAATGTTTATAACTATATATTCTTTAGTTAACTAAGATTTCTTAAATATGGAAATCTGACCGTGATTTATCCAGTCATATATCATGCTATTAGTAAAATTTTAATTAATTTAAATTAATTAAATAAAACCAGCATAATTACCAGTTATGTAGATATTCTCATCAGATGAGTATATAGTCCCAGAAACTTGATTGGTTGTATGGAGGTGCGTGAGTGGTAGTGGAAAGTGGTGTTGGTTAGAAAGTGTCAAAGAGTTTGTGAGTTGAGTGTCCCTCTCTGCATGTCCGAATCAGAATCCCCAAACTTCCAACTCCTCTCTCTGTGTATCCAACTTTTCCCTTTGTCCTTACTTTTAAAGGGCCAGACTCTTTGTTCGTCATTAGTTGATAAACCAATAGGAAGCCGTAAGTGGATTCAATCGATGGATCGCAAGTTAGGTATTTGATCCATAGAGGGAAGTCTCGTTTAACGAAACCTTCCTATCCAGGAAAGAGTTAAATTTTCCTCATGACGATTTTGACGTCATCTGGCTTATCTAAAATGACTACCATAACTTAGATTTGCTGTCAGTTCAAAGTGTTTGTCTCAGTCTTTGTGGCAACTACTTTGGTCATAACTTGTAAAATTGACAGTTCTAAACTCAATTTCACCGCTTACTTACAATGGAACCTTGTAAAATTTAAAAAGTAAAATTAATTACTTAGTCTTCTCTGTCACTAGTGTCTGTGTTTAGATAATACATTCCTTAGTGGTTAGTGAAACTAAGAAGAAATCAAGGAAATGATGTGTTTTTGTTATCCTGAAGATAGCAAAATGGAGTCCGCTTTGTTTTGAGTGACTTGGGCAATATACACTTTTAATTTCTTTTTAGCACAAAATGTCTGTTGATATAAATATTCTGACATGATCTATTTGCTAGCTATCTGCTAGCACTTCCAGGGCAAATAGTAATTCAAGTTATCAATTAATTTGCAAAAAGCAAGTGAATGATAATTTGTGAATATGCATCTTACCAGATGCATTGGGAATAGTCGGTCGCCATGGGGTCATTGATAAAAGTTCTATTCTAGTGCTTTAAATTGGAAAGACGGAATTTGACTTTAACATATGTGCGAATTGCCAGTGTGGTCCGAATTCAGTTATTTTCACTGGAATTTGTCCATTGTGACAAAATCTGGTGTTTAGTGAATAATCCTGACAAAGTCCTTATAGCCCTCTATGTCAAGACTTAAGTGACAGAGAGGAGAGCAGGAGAACCTTCCTTCGAGCAGTTTTCCAGTTCTCCATCACATCAATTGCAGCTCTTCCTAGACGGGCGTCATTCTGCAGTCACTCTGTTTTAAGGCAGAAGTCGGTACCATGAGAGGAAGATTTACCTGTTTGGGGCAGCAAGGATGGATAGAAGGATGGACAGAGGTGGGTGTTACAGTATGTAACAGTATGTAACACCCTCACACTTCCAATCAGAACAGCTAGATGAGAGATGAATATTATCATAACAACTCCTAAAATAATTTAAAGTAAATATATCACTTATCACTTAACTTGTATATTCAATGCTATAGGAGTTTTTACACTTATTCCTGGTGAAAACACAAAATCTAAAAAATGTCAAATGATGGAGGTTGAACATTTATGAAAAGTGCTTATTAAAGGTAAAGTTACTAATGTAACTGCAGCTGGTTCCTTTATTTACCACTATAACATCTTAAAGCATAGAACTGTGCAGGGCTAACCATACAGATATCTTTAGCCATAATGTTATATAGTTAGTAAGAAATCCTCTATTTAACATATATAAATAATTGAGAATACAATAAAAATAAGGATTGTCTTGCAAGCAATAAAGTTTTGTCTTTTAGATATTTTATTAAATATAAATATAGACATATATAATCCAGTACAATAATTTAGAGCAGAGTTAATAAAATTAAACTATATGCTTGCAATATCATTAATAAATTAACATACCCTCCTGAACATGTCATCATGTCAACCTCTCTGTCAATATAAGATGGAGCAGCGTCTGTCTCCAAATTTCTCCTCTCCGTATTCTCTAATATTTAAAAGTACACCTATTTATACCTTAGGTGTCTTCATTTTAGGGTTACCGTACTTCATATATGAAAAAGTAATACTTCTTATGTTTTTGTTCATTCTAGGGACCTCTTATAAATACAAAAATACAAGGCCATAACTAAAACGTAAGGGTGCACACATCATGGGAAATTCCCTGACTTAGGAAAAGATGGCATCTTAAAGTCTGAACATCTTTAACTATTTAGGGTTACCACAGTATATTATGTACGGAAAGAGTCGTAGCATAGCCTTGAAGCTTGTTTATGCATTATTGTTATTGTATTTTGTCTGGGACAAAATGGCATCAACATACTATGCACTGAAAGTAGGTAAAAGGTTATTGCTTAAAGAAACATGTATGAAAAACAATATGTTCCATTTCTAACACCTTGTCAGTTTGCAATATCTCTTAAAGACAAAGTACACAGTTTGAGAAATACAATATTTGCATTTGCCCATAACACTAAAAGAAACAAAAACACCCAAAAGCAATGAAAACTTACATAAAGTTATACCTTTGAAAAAATACTCATGCTTACAAAATACAGGTTTTATTTATTAAACAATAATAATAATTTCACATAAATTCCATCGGATTACTAGTACATTACATTAACAAATATATTTAAATTCATTGCAATTATATTAATAATTTACAATACTTTCTTCTTATTTTTTTTAAGCCTAGCATATGCGGTGACTCTCTATAACAAGTCAGAGTAGCTGTATTCTGTGATACACATATTCATATTTCATATTTAAATGACCCCATTCACAAACCCCAATGGACATTAATTCAATGTCCAATGCATTTTATATAATATGTTGTGGATTATATTTTCCAAAATCTTTGGCACTAAATTATTCCAAAATGTATTGAAATTAATCTTTGACATTTTCCCTTTGTGCAATAATTTTCCAGCATTACTATATTTAAAGCTACATCAGCTTTAGTGATATATATTATGGACAATTTCTTTTTGTTACCAGTACTCAAAACTAATCTATAATTAGTGCGATTATTTCTCTTTGTAATACTTAGTGTTAAAATGTGTATTACCCCTGTAGGTACCAAAGCATTGTCAAAGCTTTAGAAAATTTAGTTGGAGAATATAAACCCTGGGAAAACGAAAATCTGATTATACTAAACTCATTTCATTTTTAATAAACCAGACAGTATCCTAAACTTCATTTAGCAGCTTCATTTAAATAGTTTTATTTTACATGCCAAACGTTGCATACTTATAATCCACTCTATTTCACGTCCTGCTATGGCTGTTATTTTTTACAAAGTATACAGAGTTAAAGTGTATGTATTTTGCTGAAGAATTAATTTCCTTTTCAAAACTTAATGAAAGGATTATTATTTTAAAAAATGATTTTGGAAGGAGGGGGCAGGGCCTGCCCTGCATGGCAGACAGTGCATGAAATGCGCTCCCCACATGCAGCCTGTAAAATCTGACCTACAGAGGGGATTACACTTTTGGAGCTTGCTCACCGATCACCTACCTGTTCCTGAACATCAGGGAGCACACCCGAGCAAGTCTGCAGTGCCACCTCATAGCCTGTAACTAAGAACTGTCCTAAAGCCTATCCGCTCTATGGGTTCTGTGGAAGGGAGAAGCAGACAATCTCTCAACCTGGAACTATTGGTGTTTGTGAACCTCACATTTACAGCCCCATTCCCCCCCCTCAGACCAGTGGGGGTTATTCCGGTCCCAACTATGGAAAAGCTACTGGAACATATAATGCTGAATAGCCTCTACTCACCCTGACAAGCCGAGACCTGAAGATGGCTGCCACTCTGACTGAGCGCTTGAGCCCATACTTGGAATCTAATTTTTGTGCCGCTTTCGATGTTCTATGTGCAGTATTTTGGAGACAGGTTGAATCCTGTTGGAAAGCTCAACTACTCACCTCACCTGTGACAGCGAAGGTCTCCAGAAGTGTTCCGACATTGTGTTCTACTGGACTGAGAACCAGGAAGGACGTAAGGCCCATCAGCTGTCAACAACTCTGTGAGACCGTTTCCAGAGTGGGAGTTTCGCAGGGTGCCTATAGTGTCCCTTTAAGTAGCCTTGTAAAATGTCAAACTGTTTTTTGGTTGTGTGTATGCTGTTCCATAATCTGTATTTTGCTCCTCACACCTCCGACCGCTTGCGTCTGTGAAATTAATATATTGATAGCTTAAAATGCGTAGGGATCATCTAGGAAGTTTGTGTGCAAAAACAGTCCATTCCTTTGTACTTGCAACGGGTCCAAAAATTGTCAGCCTTCCTCTGTTGAGGGATGAAAACATCATAGAGGAATATATACAGTATAATTTCCTAAACAGAATCACAGTCAGGAATGTACTTATATAAAATATTTAAGTTGTAATACAATCTGTAATTAAACAACTGTCTTCTTCCTTCATGGCTCGTTATTGTAAAAGTGGCAGTGGCTGCAGCACCTTATAGCTATTTAAGAATTAATCAATCATGGGAGCAATAAAACAGAAGCTGCTCTGTCAGTTAGAGTCATAGTAAACTACCATGGAAAACAAAGCCAATGCTGGCTTAAATAATTAAAGGCCTCTTGTCTAAACGCTTAATCCAAGCTCACTTCCTGGTGAAAGATGACCTAATGCTGGGTGCAGGATGGCTTGCAATTGTGACAGCTCGTTAGTAAATAATGCTCGTTCAAGACTATTTGTTGACTTTTTCAGCTCTCTCAAAAGCTCAGCAAACTCTTAATATAGAACTGCAGATAGGCGTTTGGCTGGATAAGGAAAACAGATTAACTGTGTGATGGAAGGGGACACAGACTTGATGAGAATGGTACAAGAAATGCGTTCAGAGATAGATAAGCTGGAGAGAGAAAACAGGGCACTGCGTGGGGAACTGAGCCAGCTTGGAAGCAGGTCTGTAACTACGCAGGATGACAAAATTAATGATGACAACTACAATTGTCCAGTTAAAGAAGAGACATTATCCAAAGGAGTCCTCCGCCGAAATTCTTCTGTTGGGTCAGCCCAGATATCACAACAGCAAAAAGGTACACACATTGCTCCAATTTACATTAAAAATTTTTTTATGGCAATCACAGGCAAAAAAGCTACAGGTAAAGAATGTTACGAAGGCACTCTGTACGACTTTGGGGGCTCTTTAGCTCCGGATCTCCACAAGTGGTAGAGGAGGTAGAATGATATGAATGGTTTTTTTTAATTTTACATCAGGCAGCTGCTTCTAATATCAGCCATCTACTATAAAAATGAAAGATTAGTAGTTTAGTGCTCTATCAGGCTACACAGGGACGTATTAGCCGCGAGGCAAACAAGGCATTTGCCTTGGGCGGCATTTTTCAGGGGGCGGCAAAAAACGCCGCCCCCCAAATGCCCAGGGCAGATGCCTTGTTAGCCTTGCGGCTAACTGACATCCCGGGCGGCCGGCGAGGGAGCACTTCCCATGAGCTGACTGCTCAGCTCCCTCGCGCACCGCAAAGTGGGGCTGGGAGCCGGAAGATGACGTCATCTTCCGGTTCCCAGCCTCACTCTGCAGCCGACGCGCGAGGGAGCTGAGCAGTCAGCTCATGGGAAGTGCTCCCTTGCCGGCCGCCCACCTGCCAGCGCCGCCCGCCCTGCAGCCACTGGACCACCAGGGAGAGAGACCCCCCCCCAGCACTCCCAAAGGTAAGGAGGTTGGGGGGGGGATTTAAATAAAAAAAAAGTTAATGTGTGTGTGTGTTTGTGTCTGACTGTGTGTGTGTGTGTGTGTGTGTTTGTGTCTGACTGTGTGTGTGTTTGTGTCTGACTGTGTGTGTGTTTATGTCTGACTGTGTGTGTGTTTGTGAGTGTGTGTTTGTGTCTGTGTATGTGTCTGACTGTGTGTGTGTGTGTTTGTGTCTGACTGTGTTTGTGTCTGTGTATGTGTCTGACTGTGTGTGTGTGTGTTTGTGTCTGACTGTGTTTGTGTCTGTGTATGTGTCTGACTGTGTGTGTGTGTGTGTGTTTGTGTCTGACTGTGTGTGTGTATGTGACTGTGTGTGTCTGTGTGTGTTTGTGTGTGTGTTTATGTCTGACTGTGTGTGTCTGACTGTGTGTGTTTGTGTCTGACTGTGTATGTGTGTGTGTGTGTGTCTGACTGTGTGTGTGTGTGTTTGTGTCTGACTGTGTCTGTGTATGTGTCTGACTGTGTGTGTGTGTGTTTGTGTATGTGTCTGACTGTGTGTGTGTGTGTGTTTGTGTATGTGTCTGACTGTGTGTGTGTGTATTTAGAAGGTGGGGGGAAGGGTTGGGTGGGGGTGGCGCGGGGGGGAGGGGGGCGCCTGAGTTTTGTCCTGCCTAGGGCAGCACAAAACCAGGATACACCACTGAGGCTACATAGTGGGTGTGTGTTGTGCCCCCTAGTTTGCTGTTGGGAGAGTGGTATCAGGGACTAGAACCTTTAGGTTATCTAGTGTGGCAGGACTGCATTGAATATTTGGCTGTGCAGCTTGCGTTTGTTTCCAGCTATGCTTCCTTTGAGATCACAGAGAGTGTTAGCAGCACACTGTTTATGGGTAGACAGGAGCCACATAATATAGAAAGGTGGCGATATGTCATGGCATAAACCAAGGTTCAAAAGGTGCCACCACTCTTCATTGGCAAAGGGAAAGGTTTGCAATGGCAAATAGAAATTCACTACTGGTGAGTGTGTCATGGACCTTGAGTCTTGCAATGTCTTGTAAAGCCTGCCTAGTAACACAGGACTTAGAAATATAAGCCCTGAACCCATATGTGTGTCACTGTAGGGGTGATTGAGTTTATCTTTGGCGCAAGAACCTGTGTTTCTGACACCTAGCAGCGCCCCTTCCAATGCCGGCTAATTTTGATAGTAGGTGTTTGGGAAAAAATAGATAATAAAGGGTAGCTCCAGATTTTAAGATAGGGGGAAAAATGAATTGGATTCCACCATGCAATCACCCAACTGGGGAATGTTATTTTACTCATGCTAGGCCTTATATAGGCTCATATGTATACAGTTATGCATCAAAATGAAACACTATTGGATGTAAAAAGCATTTAAAGGAAGCAGTTATGATTACATATCCAATTTAGATTTAGTACTGAAACTGCCATGGACTACATTTCCATTGAGGGTTTGTCAATCTTCTGGTGGGCTAATCATCATGACACGTGCAGTTTGGAACAGCCGTAGTTCCAAACGTTTGCCAACACTATTTTAAAATAATCTTATGGAGAGTAAAATCCAGGCCGACACTGGTGATTATTACTTTGATTTAATTTTAACACAGAATGTACAGATACATCTTTAATCTAATGTTATTGGCATTTTCAGTGTCAACAAGGTGTGCATTACTTAGAGCTGGTGATTAAAGGGTTATTTTTGTTATGCACTATTGTGTTCTTTTCTTGACTACTTATGTCCCTTTTAACTACATACATCACTTTATTCTAACATTGGCTGTTAAAGGGACACTCCAGCATTAGAAATTAATTAATTAATTTATAACACTGATGTGTTCAAGTGTCCATTTATATTTAGGCTTCAATAAAATGTCTAGAATAAAAATGACCTTGTCTTCAGTGTTGAGGCGGTCTCTTTGTAGTGCTCCACTCCATCTCCACTCCACTCCACCTCCTTGCCAATCAAGTGCATCTCACGGAGTAGAATTACGGTCCTGCAGCACATGTGCTGTAATTGCCGTTCTACTCAAATATAATGCTTCACGTACAACAGCATTGGATTCAATGGTTTTCTCCACTTTTGAGTGAGTACTCAAAGCTAGCGAGGGGGGAGCACCCTGACTGCTGACTGATTGTAATCGGCACTTTTATAAAATAACAAGGGGCAGACAATAAACCTTTAAAGCACTTTTTATCTGAATTACTAACAAATACAAAATGTAAAGTACAGCTGTCAACATTATTTTGGCATGTGCACTCTAAGTGAGAAAGTAGATTTTTGTATATTTGTTAAAAAAAAGTGTGTGTGTGTTTGCAATTTATTTCTTGGCTGCCCTTAGCCGCTCATATTTTGCCATCATTGCCAGGAACCATCAACAACACATGCTAATTGGCCTGGTACTAAGGATGATACTTCAGGCACATGAGCTGAGGAGTGTAGACAGATAATGTTAAATATTTATTAAGCTCCTTAAATCTCTTATTCATTTACATTCATGACTTCATACAAGTGCATTATATTAACATTAGCTACTTAACATTATCGAGATTGATGGGACCCAATGTGTTTTTGTTATAGCTCATCATGCACTGGCCATTTCATTTCAGTCCATCACTGACCATGTTATTTAACCTCATTACTGCTTAAAAGAAATCCCATGACAGGTAAAATAATCTATTTTAAGCAAGACAAGCTATATCCTGAGCAGCATGTTTGAACTGCATGTAACATATTCAAATGATTCATCCTGGGAGAATGTTTTAATACATTAAAGATTACTTTTTACTTGATTTTTTTTTTCTTTTTCTTCACATTCAAACTCAGGCCATCAAAGAGAAATGTATTACCATCAGAATTTTTTTTAAAAATGACATAGAGAGTAATTATGATTTTTTAGGTTAGTATGCTTCTCTACTTTGATGATATTAAATCAGGCATGTATTATTAAGGGTAACCAATACACAGTAAATCAGAGCACATCGCAGATAAAAGATCTATAGCTATCAACGATGCAGAAAACCAGTGTCCAAACAAAATGTGTCTTTTTACCTGTATTAGTAATAGTAACACTGTACTGACTTGTTTTCTTTTTAAGTTAACTCTATCTTTATGTATACAATTAATGTGGCACCAGTGGGGTAGAAGAATATTTAACTCCCTAAGCCTCGTTAAAACTTCAAATATATATTAAAAAAAAAGGAAAAGGGAATCAAGAACAAGAATATGCATATTTTAATGCAATAACTGCTAATGTGACCTGTCCTCTATATAACGTTAAATAGACTGTGCTTTAACGCCGCTCTGTCACAATTTTCATGAAGATAGAAAATTTAGGAAAATCTCTTTTTGACTGTGTTAGAATTCCTTTGAAATACCAGCACAATCAAAAAAAGTAGGGACAATCTTCGTCACAATGTGGCCACGTCAACTGATGGGAACCGACATAATCTCCCGCAAAGTGCAATAGATGTCTTTGGCAAATGCGAAACTATCTATGGAAAATGCCATGGTCATGCAGCACCTTCTTAAATTCACCTAAAATGAATGAGAGGGACTCATGCAAATGATGTACAAACAGTTACATGAGATGTTTACATTTATTTGTATCTAAAGGACACTATGAAGACAACACAACTTATGTTCATAGATACGCTGGATTTTTGTCATTGCTCAACTCTTTTTAGTGTTTAAAAAATGTAGCTTTCTTCAGCACAGGCTTGCCTCCTTACACATGCACTATTTTCACCCAATTTATTCTTGAACTGGCCTATGTATCTCAGTAAATACTCTGACACAGGGATGCAGATTAGAGGACAGTCAAGTATTGCTACTATATGCCTGTACAGTGCTACTGCACTGTGCCTGCTATCTACAACACAATCTTTGTTACACAATGTATTACACACTATTCTGCCATTCTGTGCTACGAGGTAGGGGCTTTGTAGGAGAGAGAGACTGATTTGTGTTCAGTGGGTGTTTAGTTTAGGGCAATGGAGGGGGATAAAGTGATTGTAATATTATCCCAACATGTTTTGTCCCCATCTGGAAATGTATGTTTTTAGAGGCTAATTTTAAACCAGTTAACCCTTTCAGACTCTGGCCTTGATCTTTTATTTTGGATAAGCTTTTTAGATGACTACAAACTGTTAGCAAAGTTTTTCAAATGATGTATCTATAATAAAAAAAATTTAAAAAACAACTACATAGACTTGAATGATGATTTATGTAGATACATAATTTGAAAAGTTTTTTTTCTGATGGATTTGAAAAGTTTATCCAAAAACATGGGAATAAGCATCATGTCTACACATTGCAGAACTTTTCTATGTTTTAACGGGCTTGAGGGAGCTGGCTCACCTGGTTGAACATAGCAAATGTCTATATAATAATGTCCCCTGCTCTGTTTACGTGTAAGAGTGTCACCTTTTATATTTATATTTATTCATGTTTATTTATTTTCCGTTATTTTTATTCTTGTTTTGCTTGATACTCTTTTTATGTTGTCATTCATTTGTGGTCTAAATATTTGTATTGCAATGGAGTCTTTGCATTTTCAATGTACGATACATGCTTTTTCTGCCTCTGCTATTTTTGTCCTTACCATCCTGTGATAAAAATGCCACTTAAATAAAGATTGTAAAAAACATTATATCAAGGCCTCTGTGTGTTATTTCTGTTTGCCCTGCCACAACTAGTGTGGATTAATCCTTTGCAACATGGAAATGTTAAAATATACTGCTATATCTTGGCAGTCATTGGAGACATCTCTGGTAAAAGACAGACAAGCTGGAATTTTATTTCATATTGATTAAAAGTTTCTGTTATAAAAAAAAATAAAATGAGGCCATTGATCTCTGAAAGAGATTCAGTTTGCAGAAGCTGCTTAGGTCCATAATAATATGTGTTTCATTGCTCTAGATCAGGGGTTCCCAACCCAGTCCTCATGTACCCCCCTACCAGTCCAAGATTTAGGGATTACTCTGTTGTGTCTAAAGTGTTCTTTTTCTTCTTTCTAAAAACACCTTAGATACAGCTCGGTAATCCCTGAATCCTTGACTGTTGAGGTATGGGTTGGGAACCACTGCTCTACACCTATAATATGCAGACTTTGTCAGTACTAAAATTGTGCGAGAATTTTTTTCACCTTGATTCACTACAAAATAGAAACTGGTTGAACTCAGGATAGACAATAACAGACTGGTAGCTGAGGAGCTGCTAGTATATAGAAACACAGAAAAAAGAAAAGTATATTTTATTTTTACAATTTTACAACATTCTTTATACAGCTGACAGGTAGTGACGAAAGAGTATCATAAGCACATAACATTTGGCATATAGAGTCCCCAATGTGCTCTAAAGCATATGTGTATTATTCTCATTCACTTGAATGAAACAGGGTAAGCAGGATTAAATTAGGAGGTACATCAGTGCATCTGTTATGCATTCTTTCACCACTTCTTTTCAGAACTTGGAGATTAGGGTTAGAGCTATTTTGATAGAAGTTTTGCAAAATATTTTACGATAAACTGCTAGTTTTGCACTTTGATACCTTGAGTTACAATTCAACCAATACTTAATATTAAAAATTAAGAAATATCTGCAATCCTAATAAAACATTTGAAATATCAACTAAACAATTGCACGTTTGCAATACACAATTTACAAGTTTACGTTTGCTCACTTGACATCTCTTTTTCAATCTAATAAATTCCATAGGCTTCCTAATTACTTTTTTTTTTTTTAAATGTTTATATTTGTATTGCAGGTGTTGCCATGACTGTTCGCAGGTATTCCATGTCTTCATCACTCCTATCCAGCTGCTTCCACTGGCAAAATCAAAATATAAAAAGACATTCCAGCAGCGGGACCTTGAAACTGAATGGTTCTGTAAAAGACGTAGAGACAGATCCTGGGAACCATGGTGTCACACCTGGGAGAACATCTGAACAAGTTCTTATAAATAACATTCCCAAGACAAAATCCTTCCAAGATTGCATGCACCAATGCAGGTAACGTGTATTATAGACATCACTAAACTCTAGTCATTGTTACTGAGAAGCTACTGGTTGACTCCACTCTACTTTAAATGGAAAGAAACTTCAATATTCTAGAATTATTGGTTTGTCTGATACATAAGTATTTGAATTAACTTTCATATAAAATTGCCATATTTAAGTAAATTTCAGCAGTAAAGCCTATGTATACATGCTGTGTTATAGGGACACTCAAGGCACCCAGACCACTTCAGCTCATTGAAGTTGTCTGGGTGCCAACTCCCATCACCCTTAACCCTGCAAGTGTAATAATTTTTTTTTATAAGATAAGTTTTTATCTGTCAGACAGCCACTAGAGGGACTTCCGTTTTCTTAAAACATGAAAAGTGTTTTATATGATGCTGGAGGTCGTCGGAATCCCCATAGGAAAGCATTGGTCTAATGTGCTCGCGCTGCCATTGCATGAGGAGCGTGGATGGGGCCTGACCCAGCGCTGAGGGACACCGGCGCTGGATTCAGGTAAGTTACTGAAGGGGTTTTAAACCTTTCCGCAACATGGGGGGAGAGGGGCACTGCAGGATTCTGCAGTGCCAGAAAAACGGACTCACAAGTGGATGTGTGGATGTGAGTGAACTGCAAACTAAACAGAAAAATCTGGGTTAAAAAACAAACAAACTGTAACTGGGGTAATTTTGCCCAAATTTAGCAATTATGTATTTAATTCACTAAAATTTACTGTTTAGTTAATAAATCTTTAAGGGAAAATGGTAAACATATTTTTATTGGTCGGTTTCAATGGGGGCAAATGTGTAGATGTTAAAAACAGAGGCAGAAAATGGAAACCTACCCCTATATTGGTATTAATGATGCTATTGCTTAACGGATGTTTTTACCTACAACACACAGCCCAGGTACGAGTTATGCAATTAAGCCTCCTTCTTGAATTTCAACAAGCTTGATGTATATTTTTGATGTAAAACAGGCTTTTCTTGTATCAATGAAAGGAAATCAGTCAAAAATTCACAGACTGGCATTTTAGTCAAAGTATTCAGAAAATACGTAAACTTCTACAGTACAAATATAGAAATGTCGGCCTTTCCCTAATGTACAGCTTACATTTGATACAAACCTAAACTATGTGAAAAGAAGCATGCATTTTACTGTACAAAGCCACTTAAATACTGGGAGTTTACATGTTAAAGGAAACGGTATTCTAATTTTAGCATATAAGGATTATAAACAGTTGTTGGCAAGCGAAGGCAGTAGTTATATAAAATGGCCTCAAACCAGACTGAGAGAATTCTACCTGGGAATATATCAAAGTGGTTACCATGACAACAAAAATACTGTCTAATGTGCCAGCTAGAGGGTGCACTGTGCACCTGCCATAGTGCAGAGCAGGTGCCGAACCCACATGACCACTAGGTATCAGGATTAATAAATATATATATATATTTTTAATTTTACATGTATATATATATATATTGTAGGTAAAACATTTCCGTTTGCAGACTTAAGCCCATGTACACCATCACTCCACACACAGACGACAGCCCCTATATAGCCCACACATATTACAGTTCCTATATCCTCTCTCTCTCTCTCTCTCTCTCTCTCTCACACTCAAACCCAAACACACACAAACATTCTACTATTCCTGTTCTCCATACTCACACACATATCACACCTCATACACACTACAGCCCATATATCCCCCTACTCTACTTCCGATATCTACAAGCACAAACAGCCCATACAAACCCTATACCCTCACACACGCTGCCATTCTTTATCCATTTACACAGCCCCTATCCCCATAAACACACACAACAGCCCCAATTCTCATAATCAGACACTACAGCAGGGGCGTATTAGCCGCGAGGCAAACAAGGCATTTGCCTTGGCCGGCATTTTTCAGGGGGCGGCAAAAAACGCCGCCCCCAAATGCCCAAGGCATATGCCTTGTTAGCCTCGTGGCTAACAGACATGCCGGTCAGGCTGGGCGGCGCTGGCTGCTGAGCGGGCGGCTGGCGAGGGAGCTCTTCCTCTGAGCGGTCTGCTCAGCTCCCTCGCGCGCCGCCCGCAGAGTGAGGCTGGGCGCGCGAGGGAGCTGAGCAGACCGCTCATAGGAAGAGCTCCCTCGCCAGCCGCCCACCCAGCAACCAGCGCCGCCCAGCCTGACCAGCAGCCACTGGACCACCAGGGAGAGAGAGACCCCCCCCAGCACTCCCAAAGGTAAGGAGGTTGTGAGGGAGGGGTTTAAATTAAAAAAAGTTAATGTGAGTGATTGTGTGTGTGTCTGACTGTGTGTGTGTGTTTGTGTCTGACTGTGTGTGTGTGTCTGACTGTGTGTGTGTCTGACTGTGTGTGTGTTTGTGTCTGACTGTGTGTGTGTGTGTGTGTGTTTGTGTCTGACTGTGTGTGGGTGTGTGTGTTTGTGTCTGACTGTGTGTGTGCTTGTGTCTGACTGTGTTTGTGTCTGTGTATGTGTCTGACTGTGTGTGTTTGTGTCTGACTTTGTGTGTGTCTGTTTGTGTCTGACTGTGTGTGTGTCTTTGTGTCTGACTGTGTGTGTGTTTGTGTCTGACTGTGTGTGTGTGTTTGTGTCTGACTGCGTGTGTATTTGTGTCTGACTGTGTGTTTGTGTGTGTTTGACTGTGTGTGTATTTAGAAGGTGGGGCGGGGGGAAGGGTTGGGTGGGGGTGCCTGAGTTTTGTCCTGCCTAGGGCAGCACAAAACCAGGATACACCACTGCTCTACAGCCCCTATCCCCATATACACACACTACAGCCTCTATCCTCATAATCACACACTACAGCCT